GCATGAGGGCATGCCACGTGAGCATGTTACTGCTTGAGCCACATGCCCAGCCCACAACAGCTGTCTTAATGACCTTATCTGTCTATTCCATCGTCTTCTATCACTTTTGGGTTTGTTTCTTCTGATTGCATTTTCTCCTCACTTCTCTAGTTCTTTACATGTCTAGTAATTTTAACAATGGATGCTAAATTTTGTTGTATTTCTTTGGATTTTGCCTTGGAGGACTGTAAATTGCTTGTAGATTCATTTTTAAGTTCTGTTAGGAAAAAACAGCTTTTCTTTGGGGCTACTTTAGCCCCACTACTAAAGTATGATCCCTCTGGGTCCTCTATTCAATGCCTGTGTATCTGATCAAATATGCCCATTCTAGCTAGTAGGACTTGAATATTCACAGTCCTTTGTGAGCTTTAGTAATGATTTGGCTGATAGCTCCCTATAATTGTTCTTTCTCCAGAAATGATTCCTTGATTAATCTTGTGGAGTTTTTGTTCTATGCATGTACAAAATGGTGTTCTGCCATGCACATTTCTAGAGTTATTTCTCTCGAGCTCCCCCTTCCCTCCCAACAAACTCTCATTACTTTGGCCTCCCCAAAGTCTGTTTTCTTGTCTCCAACTTAGCAAGACTAGAGGGCTATGTTTGGGTTTCCTTTCTTTGCACAATGGTCTGAAAATTACCTCCTATTAGAAAGCTAGAATAAAGAAGTTTTCCTTCTTTCAGGAATTATAATCTTGTGCAATTGCCCAATCCTTGAAAACAGTTGTAGTCATATGATTTTTCTGTCTAGTTATCTAATCATTTATAATGAAAGAATAATTTCATACTGTTACTCTTCCTTCTAGACTAGAAACAGAAGTTCCCCCATAATTACAGTGGAAGTGCTAGTGTTAACTACTCTAGCTCAGAGTAGTTTATTTTATTAACAAACTATTGTTAGAGTAGCAAATGAATTAAATATTTATATAATCATTGTTCAAAATCACTAACCATAAGGAAAAGATAATGCTTAAATATGGCTGGCAAACCACTTCTATGGTCATAATCACCAATACACTCTTCGTTCTTTTTTTTTTTTTTTTTTTT